GTTTCAAGTTCCTGGGAATCAGCATCACAGATAAGCTGACATGGTCATCTCAAGAAAGCTCAGAAACTACTGTATTTCTTGAGGAAGCTTAAGAAGGCCATGCCAAGTTCTTGTCAGTTTTTACAGAGGAGCAGTAGAAAGCATCCTGACTGGAAACATCACTAACATGGGACGTGCACGGCCCAGGACCGGAGAGCTCTGCAGCGGGTGATTCAAACTGCTCAGAAGATCATTGGTACCCATCTCCTGAGCATCAGTGATATCAGTGAGGTGAGGTGCCTACGCAGAGCCCAAAGGATACTAAAGGACAGTACCCACCCAGCCACAGCCTGTTCACCCTGCTGCATTCTGGGAAGAGAAGTTTCTGCTGCCACACCACCAGACTGCAGAGCAGCTTTTTCCACCAAGCTATCCGACTCTAATTCATCCTCAGCACTGCTCCACTGATGATAGTTTATTTCTGTTTACCATTTTTCATAATTAATTTTTTATTAATGTATATTGTCTGCTATTTAGCAGAAGGCAGACCCACCTACCTACCCATGTAAGTCTGTTTAAGTTTAGTTATTTAACCTGACAGGGGGACCTGGAGTCCTCTTGCCTAGGGGCGCAAGGGACGTGGCTAAATGCTGGGGCCAGTCAGGAACATGCATGCTCTGGACCTGGGCCTGGAGCCTCAGGCTTCTGCTCATGTCTGGGGCAAGTGGTGTGTCCCTGGGCCTGGGATCAATTGTCTTCTTTCCTACCGGGGGCCTTCTTTGGCAGAGGTGGTTTCCCGCCGCTGCCTCCTACCGGCTCTCTCACAATGAGGGCGAGTAGTCTTCGCCCTCATGGGGTGCATGGCCGGTGTTGTCAGGGAGGGTTTTGGCCCGCTTCCTTTGGGGTGACTGTCTGGGAAGACTGGGCCCTTGTCCAGGGTCTGGGCCAACCTCAGATTCGCCCGGCCCGGGGGGGCACTGGCTCTGCCTGCACTCGGGAGGGGGAGGCCTCTGGCTGGGTTGGGTGCTGTTGAGCCTGCTTATCCTGCGCTCTCGCTCCCTGGCTGCGGGGGCTCCTCGGCAGGGCTCTCTGCTGTTCTCCCTTTGGCTCTCCCCCGAGGAATGTGGTCTTAAGTCCTTTGTGCTCTGGGAGGGTTACAGGGTGCCCTGGCTGCTGGGGTTCTTACCTACCTCCCGTCGGGGTCGGTGTAGTACTTTTGTGGCTTACCATTCTTACTAACAACTACATCCCATGACAGTCTTATATACACACACACACACACACGCGCGCGCGCACACACACACACACTCACACTCACACACACACACACACACACACACAGACTCACACATGTAGACCCACACGCATACAGACCATAGACTGTATATAAAAATGGACGCAGTGTCCATGATGACACCCATAGTGTTAGCCGGCCAGCACTATCTTGGCAGCGGGTCACCATGGGGCACTCCCGGATAACCATAAAAGGATAAAGAAGCGGGTTGTGGGTGGAGCAGAGGTGATGGGTTGCTAAAACTCAGCTAAACCTCCTGGGCTGCATGTTTGGATGGTAACATTAGCTTGTGGCCATAACCTGAAACTATACAACAACACTCCAAATAACTGTTTATCTATTAATGGGGTTATACTACACAAGGTTTAAAATGCTTCAACATTTTTTAATTTTTTAATTTGTAAATTTGGTCATTCGCAACTCTAGATTTTGTGAGGACTTGCAGAAATTTGGGATTTAACCATAACCATTTCCATGAATCAGCATTCTCAAACCAACAATTTGAAGCAAATCAATTAACCTTTTGAATGAAAATACTCAGAAAACATGTTTCATATGAAATGTGATTGTGCAGTTTATTTCTGTGCACTGGCGTATTTTCACTTTCTACCTCATACATTAAGAGCCTTAAACCCAGTAACCAGAGCCCGATGTTTTTGAGTGCCTTCTTTGCTGCTCTGATATAAGTCTAGTTTAAAAACATAAGAATGTGCGCACATTGAAACCAACCTGTGGGTAAGTGATGAAACAAAAAATGACCTGCACAAAGTAGTTACAAATCCAACTAGGTGGTGTCATTAATTGTTGAAAACTCTGGAGTCTCAGAACTGATCAAATGCACCTGTGATAGACAGTTGCAATAAATGACAACTTCTTGGCTTCAAAATTATTCAGTGTGCAGATAATTCTTTATCTGAGTGTAACTTCTCAGTCTCTTAAAGAAATGTCCAAATAAAACCAGCATATACTGTAAAATCAGCTTTTCATTCTTTAGTTTTCTACTAACATATATACAAAATGTTGACCTATAAATACCATCCATCCATCCATCCATCCATCATCAACTGCTTTCCTGCATACAGGGTCGTGGGGGGCTGGAGCCAAACCCAGCCGACATCAGGCGAAAGGCGGAGTACACCCTGGACAGGTCGCCAATCCATCGCAGGGCCACACATAGACACACAACCAGTCACCAATCAACCTAAGCTGCATGTCTCTGGATGGTGGGAGGAACATGCAGACTCCACACAGAAAGGCCCGCGACCTTCATTCTGTGAGGCCACAGCACTATCCACAGGACCACTGTGATCGTAATATTTTCCTTTACAGCTGTTAACTATCATATTGTTAAGTTTAGATCACACTATTTACAATTAACACAAGAAACTGATGATGAAAAATGTGGTTTTATTTTAAGTCTAATTAGTCTGATTAGTTTTATAACAAATTATTCCTTATACACAAGCAATAGTTAAGCAATCTAAAACTCATGTCTTGCATTCATGAAAACATCAATGTTAAAAGGTTACAAATGTAAAAGTAGTTTTGTATGAATTGAATTAATGTGTTGTAAGAGTTATTATAATGTTGTGGAGTAAAAAGAAAAGGCTGAGCATAGCAAGAGCTGAAGAACCTCGCTGCAAGCTGGAGCTGTTCTCTCCTGTAGAGCTGGACACAGCAAATCACATCTGGAAGGTTCTGCAATCAGCTCCTCTGGCACCTGTAAAGTAAACAATGGGTAGACTTTTAAGCAGCTTCTTCCAAAGAGCCATAAAGCTACTGAACTCTGAGATCGCCTCAGCATGATAACCTCTCTGGCATGTGACAGTAATTAATTCAACATTTGCTGCTGGACACTATGCAATAATCATCCATTCTGCTAGACACCTGTTGACTACTCAAATCAGTGCTTAATGAATATTTATTATTAAGATCTTATTTTAGATTTCTTATTGAACTGTACTACTTGTTTTTTTTGGCGAATTCTAATCCCCCAAACAAATTTTCTTGCCTTAACTAAACTAACTTTATTGAACTCAGGAACATCCCCCTAGTTACAGCCCAGCTACCTGTCTTAGAGAATTGCATGCACCTCGCGGGAGATAACGCTGATAACGCTAACACTGATCAAATGCGGTTATCACCTAAGACTTTTTGCTGAATCTCAAGGAATACTACTTCAACTAAGTGTAATAATAAAATATTGATGACTCTAAACGTTATTAAATATGTACTTCGAATCAATCTTCCCCACTGATGAACCCCACAACAGAATAGTAACGTTATATCGTTTTTAAACAGTAACATTAACGTTACTTTGAGGTGCATGGCTCTCCTCGGTGGTCAGGCAGCATGCTGCAGCTGCTCCCCCCTTGGATTCAGGTGCAGCCGCTTATCCTAATACTATCTGACTAATATCTAACTGAACAGTGACTAAGTTACAGTTCAAAGCCAAATCTAACATTGCCCGTTTGTAAAATTTAACGTTAACGTAACGGCAGCTGATGTTAACAGAGAGCTAATGTCTAACACCAACGTTTATCTATTACATTTGGCTTCTCTCTTGCCGACTTCCCTTAAACACACTTCCATTTACTTAGCATTGTTAGCACAGCTTGGGGTTGCTTGTATCTGGCTAATTAAAGTAACGAGCTAAGCTAACAAGCTATAAGTTGTGCTGGCACCGATACCTGCTAATTACTGTTAACACTTAAATGAAATACTAGAATTCCACTCACCAACTGGAGAACAGGCTTCTTGGATGGTCTCTCTCTATACAGCCTGCCATTATTCGTTGAGTATCTGAATGAAGAAATGTCCAAAAGGTTCCAACAGGCTGAACAACAGAGCTCCATGTATTAGCTGAGTGAGGCTAACAGATGGCGGACCGAGTGCTAGCAGTGACAGCGGCGGCAGCCACCTATCAATCAAAACGGCCACGCCCCTATTAATGCAGAACTTTAATTAACTTTAATTTAAACAGGTGAGGTACATAAAAATTAAGCTATATACATTAAAATCATTTATGAACCGGGCTGTAAACATGTTTTTTACTGTTGTAAAGTTGGCCTTTTTAACATGGGAGGTTCAATGGAGATTGACTCCCTTCTGCAGCCAGCCTCAAGTGGCCACTCGATGAATTGCAGTTTTTTGTTATTTCCTGGTTGCATCGGAAGTGAGAGCCGGAGGTTGTCGCTTGACACAGACACACATCCATCCATCGTCAACCGCTTATCCTGCGTACAGGGTCGCAGGGTACAGACACACAAACAAATTTAGGTTGTGCATGGTTGTCAGCAGGTAGTTGCATTATTCTTTATGCATGTCAATATGTTATTTATTTCCTTCTCATGGCTGTGCTGTGTTTTTTTATTTATTTTGCTTGCCTGTTTCTCCTTTTCATTCTCCCTCAGTTGTTTTCTTATGTCTGCTGTTTGTTGCTGTTCAACTGGTTGTCTCCCCCTCATTTTTTTTCTTTCCTCCAGAAGCCCCCCTCCCCGTTCTTTGTCCGTTCTCTGTGGTGACTGTTTGTGTGATGCTTGTGTCCCCATCCCCATTTCTACCCCCGCCCGACCCGGTGACAAATTAATACATAATTAAATAAATAATAAAGAAGACAAAGGAGTATATTAAAAACTCTTTTGTTAAAGCAAAATCTGTCTGGCACAACATGGTATCCAGCTCCTCATACTCTATACTAAAAAAAACCAAAAAGGGTGTGTTTTACCTGCCACTAAGGAGGCCATGCGAGTATCCATTAGTGTGTTGTCATAGGGAGATATTTCCAGTTCATCTTTCCCTGGAAAAAAGGAACACACAAACATTTGCAAAAAGATTGAGAGATCATTCATAGAGGTGTGTCAATAAATCGACAGCAATATATTGTAATACATTCTTCCATGATACTGTATCGATATTCCAGCCATCATATCGATGCATAGAAATAAAAGAAATAGGAATTTGACAGTTAGTTCAATGCTACAACATTAGCATCTAGGGTTGGGCGATGTCTACAAAATTTCCATCGGACGATCTCCGCACTGAAACATCGGGATGGGGGATCGGGGGGGATTAGTGGTCGTGTTATGGGCGTGTGTTCACTCGCATAGACTTCACTCGGTTAAAAACTTAGTAGCCTATGACGTTACAAGTCACGGTGGATTTTACAAGCACGGAGCAGGTAAAGCAGCAGTGAACACACAGAGTGCAGACGTTGTTTCAGTTGTTTGATTTGCTGCATCTTTAACAAGCCCACAAGTGGCTCACGGATGGACGATGGCATCGTCTATCGGCTCAACCCTATTAGCATCGCGATTGCGAAAATATAATCTTAACATAAACGACACATTTTGCTTCACATGCTGAACATCCTGAGTGACATACTGTGCAGCTACTTAAAGTACATATGTTTCCTGAGCTCTGTGTGAAATAAAAAATTGCTAACTTCACTGTCTTGATCTGCTAACTTAGGACCTTTCCGAAACTGCTTACTACTCCCTCTCCCTACTTACTTCCACTCCGTTTGCACCTTCATGGAGAGGGTCCGCCACATTGAGTGGCATCCGAAACCAATGAGGGCGGAGTGGTAGTGGGTTGTTAAACACTCAGATGCCAAGTGAGCACCAATGCCGGCTTGTTGAAGGTGTGTAATACCTTTGCTGCACAATGGGGGACTTTCTTTCAAATCAGTTCCGTGTGACTTCGCTGGTTAACATGTAGGATTTTTAAATTCCTAAACTACACTAACATTTCATATCACCATTCACAGGTTAACAATGTAGCCCAAAGGTTATACTGTATTTAATTTAAAAAAATGCTTGTCTGATAGACAATAAAGCTGTTGTTGTTACTGACTCATATTCATCTCACATGAAAATCTTCAGCCAAAACAAAATAGCCTAAATTAAATAACAGAATAATAGAACATGGCACAACTAGATAGACAGGGGCATCAGTAACAAGCAACAAAGGCATTAAAGAAAAATAATTAAGTCTTTATACATTTTAATTGTTATAAATTCTTCAGACTATATACTGCTTCAATATAATGTATGATTTATATTTAAATGTTGGATTTGAATCCATGAATGGATTTGTGAATGTAATATTTTTCAGATAAGAAAAGAGGTTCAAATATATAGGTTTTTTTCTTTACAATGAATATCAATCATTTCATAAAAGAATATAATATTTATTTTTCGTAAATATCTGAAGTCATTAAAGTAATATTTGACACAAACACAAAATGAATGACAAATGCTTTCAGTTTCGTTATTGCAAAAAACACACTTCCTCAACACGAATGCTGAATCTTCATACAACTGTTTATTTGATACAGTGAGTGCAGCGGTAACGTCAGATCCTATTTACGTTGGGGAGAGGGGAGTTCGTCCAAAAGTTGTCGCTGTATTTAAACCCTACGTTCCCAGTGGCCTAAAAATAGCGAGACGATATGTAACAACATAGTTTTATGACAAAATGTTCACACTTTATTTGATTAATTCAACCTTTTATGTGTTGCAAAGCGCTGACTTGCAGGGCTTCCGTGCCTGTGACCGGGATTTTCTCGATCGCTTAAACACATTTCTTGAAAATATGCTTCTTTTTCTCAAAACTCTAAACACAAATACACAGTTTCTCACTCAATTCCCCAAACAACCTATTTTCAGGTCACAATAAATCACTCTACTCAAAACCATTTAATCTTTCTGAAAAAACAAACTTTGCCCTCAGACATAACACACAAGTGCTCAGAAACACACACACTACAACACAGTTTTACACACTGGTGAGATAAATTCAAAACAATAGCACAAAAACTGATTATTAGTAATGCTGCTTGTGGTTCTCTCCCTCAAAAACCTTTTCACATTATGAACACAACAACAGAAGGAATAACAAATGTATATATTTGCACACATTTTTTATTCCATAGTGTGCTGTACAGTTCAACACACTACTAATTAATTAAAAACAACTAATTATTCTGCCCCAGCGTCCTGTCTTTGGTCTGGGACAGGCCAGAGATTCTTGTTCTTCACCTCCTTCTCCACCTACTCCTCCTCCCTCTACCTCCTCAACCTTCTTCTTTACTTTCCTCCTCCAACTCCTGGGCCCAATCCCAATGTCCCCCTATGCCCTAAGCCCTGGACCCTCACAGACTTTACTGACATCACTTGGAAAGTGATTGAGTTTAAGAGGCTGCAAGGGCTCAAAATGCTGTAAACGGGACAGCCACATTATCACGTTACCTTAACGACGCTGAAACACGATGCACACTTTTTAATTTATGTTTTTCCCTTATTTTTAAGTCCTGAAGGCTCGCGCCCTACAGAGGGGAGAAAGGTCACCTAAATTTCAATATATATTTGTAATTAATCAATACAATATTGTTGGTCAAACAGCATCATTAAGCAAAAACTAAAATAAATAGTTGAATAAACTAAGTGTGTAATAAGGTGATTGCATTCCTCTGACTTCATGTGTTCTATGCAGCATCTTAAGTTACAGTTTTTCTCAATTGTTTACACACAAATTCTGGTACTTGAGACACAATGACCACAACATGTAACTCATTCACCAACCCCCTGAACCAATTCTGCTAAACTACAAGCACAATTCCTGCTTTACACTCAAATTGCAGTTCTAAAACACACTTTTTTCAAAACACTACACACAATTCTCTTCTTTTGGCACAAGTTTCATGCAGAAAATATCTTGTTTTCACAAGGAACACACTGCCATTCAAATATGCACACTGACTCATCACAAGGGCAAACACCCGTCACACAGTTTTCCAATTAGCAATCAGAGCTTTAGCATAAAAGGGCAACAGGTGAGCTCTTCAATGGAGCAATGGATGCCAACATTGGAAACAGAGGCAGAGCCAGAGGAGTGAGAGGACGAGGACGAGGAGGATTATACATATTTCAATATTGTAATCATAATGATTGTGCTTCACAATCGTGACCACTCCATGTCTATTTCTGATATTGTCAGGTGTGTTTCAGAGAGTCCTTGAGCTAGAGGTGGCTGCAGTGGAGCACCAGTTCATCTTCATTGATGAGGTTGGGTTCAACCTCACAAAAAGACAAAAGAGGGGAAGGAATGTCATCGGCCAGCGTGCCATTGTTGAAGTCCCTGGCCAGCATGGAGGGAACATCACAATGTGTGCAGCGATTACCCACCACGGCGTCATCCATCACCATGCTACCCTTGTCCCCTACAACACCGCCCATCTGATCACATTCCTGGACACCCTACACAACACACTCATTCCACCAGATCAGGTAGATGGCCCAGAGCAGCTCAGGTACGTTGTCATTTGGGACAACGTAAGTTTCCACAGGGCTGCTCTGGTTCGTAACTGGTTCACTGCCCACCCACGCTTTTTAGTTGTTTATCTCCCTCCATATTCTCCATTCCATTTTTTTCTGCCTGGAGATGGAAAGTGTATGACCGAAATCCACAAACGCGTATACCTCTTCTCCAAGCTATGGAGGATGCATGTGGAGATATAGCAGCTGATGCTTTTCATGGCTGGAATCGCCATGCTAGGCGATATTTCCCCCGCTGCTTGGCCAGGGAAAACATTGCTTGTGATGTAGATGACGTGCTGTGGCCAGACCGCAACAGAAGAGAGGATGCAGCATAGTTTGTGTTTAGTTTTTTTTTTTTACTGTAACTGTGTACAGTAAATTCTTCTGTTGTTTTGTATGTAGTGTATGTGCAACTTTGTGTTGGTTGGGATGTACACTGTGTACATTGTTTTGTTTTGTGGGACAAATATATTTGTTACCGTGTATTTGTGTCGTCTGAGTATAAAAACAATATTCTCAAATATTTTACAACACACTTATGTATGTACTGTCTGTAGTAAGTGTAACACTGAACAAAAAAAAAGGCCCAAGTCATTATAATGAATGGAGAACAAGTGTTTTCCATTCATCATAGTGTTTTACATTGAGCACATCAGTGTTCAACTGGTTCTTATGAATGTCCACCATTTTTAGAAGAAATAACATTGTTTTGAATGTAAAGTTTCATTTTGCAGGAGAATTGAGGGGTTTTGCCCATTGTGTGTGTGTTTTTTGATTTGTGTGTAGAGTTCTGAAAATATGAGGCATTCTTTCAGAAAATGTGTGTCAACAAACGAGAAGAACTGTAAGAAAACCTTCAACAATGTTACCATCAGCGTAGGTGTCGATTCTTGTTTGTTTACTGTTTTCTTCTTCTCTTACATCGCGGATTTGCCGTGATACTTCTCTTGATTCCGAGCTTCCCCTGGTAACCCCTGTGTTTCACGTCATACCGCCATGAACTGTGGGCAATTCCCTCAGCCAAAGTCTGCAGAAATGTGGACTTACGAAAAGGGTCTATAAAGGGCTCAAAATGTCCGCGAGAGAGCCCTTGCACACTTGACGATTCGACAGCGTCACAGCCCAAAGCCCTCTTCCCGGGAACGCGCCTCAAAGTCTGTGAGGGGGACATTGGGATTGGCCCCTACTGTTCCTCTTCCTTCACCTCTTACTCCTTTCCATACTGCATTTTGTCCTTCTCCTCCTCTTCTTCTTCTTCTTCCTCTTCATCTCTGGTGTCCTACACCTCTTCCTTCAGATTTCTCTGGATCCTTTGTTCCAACACTGAATGAACAGGCTCTGGCCCTTTATCTATTGAAGCTTCTGATTGGTGTGTTATCAATTTTGACTGTTTGTATTTCCAGCTGGGTAGCTGTGTGCTAACTGAGCTCAAGCTGTGCTGATTGAGTGAACAATATTGAATGTTAGAGCTTTCTCAATG